TGTGCCTAAATGGAGCTTCTGTGAGTCTCTGGCCATGTGGTCATGAGACGCAATCACTCTGGGAATAATAATCAAGGTTCTCCTTTGAGCTTCTGCCTAATAGCACTCTGTGTGATGTCCTTGCACCGATTATTATAAATGGGACATTTGTGCAGAGCTATGGTTATAGTCAGAATGTTCCTACATAAATCTTCCTCAGATTAGGGGTTAAGAGCAGTGTAGGTACCTCAACTGGACATATGAGTAGAACCAAAATGGCTTCAAACCCTGAATTTTCCTTTCATGTACCTATTGCCATTGGAAGGGAAGTATATTTGTCTGAGATGGGAAGAGTTTTATATGTGTTCAGTTTATTGAGTACAATTTACAAACAAGTACATTAAAACATACATTTTAAGTATATAGATCTATGACTTGATAAATGCATGTTTGCATAACCACACGTATTAATTTTACAAATCATATACATAGATTATTAGTTACAATAATATAATAAGTCTTAATTTTGAAAAACAGAAAATTTGGGATCCTTGTTGAACCTATGTAAGGCAGAAACCTGTCAAAGAAGAAAAGCTCATATGTTTTCTAACAGAGAATGTAGCGTTTGGGGTGGTGCTGTAGGTTAAGCACTGGACTGCTAACTACAAGGTCAGTGGTTCAAACCTACCAGCCACTCCTCAGAAATTTTATACAGGGTCGCTATGAATTGGAACCTACTCGATGGCATAACAACAATGGTTGGGAGTGGTTATGTACCGTGGAGTCGGTTCCAACTCATAGTGACTCTGTGTAGGGTTTCCAGTGAGCAGCTGGTGAGTTTGAATGGCCAACTTTGTGGTTCATAATCCTGTGCTGATCATACAGCACCACACCAGAAGTCCAATTAAGATGGTGGTGGTAGTGTTATGTGCCATGGAGTCGGTTCCGTCTCACAGTGACCCTGTGTAGAGTTTCCGAGGCTGTAAATCTTTACAGGAGGAGAAAGCCTCATCTTTCTCCCACAGAACTGCTGGTAGTTTCAAACTCCTGATCGTGAGATTAGCAGCCTGACTTGTAACCACTACGCTACCAGAGCTCCTTAACAACAATAGAGAAGATTTTAAAACTGGTAACAATCCACCCAGTTAGAGGCAGCCAGTTAGGGAGACCCGGAAAAAAGGCAATCTCACTGAGTTCTGGCTCTCACAGGTTTCACTGTCTATTAACAGACTGCACAGATATGGTGGTGTACTGTAGGCTAAGTACTGGACTGTTCACAGACAGTCAACATGGTTCCCTAGTGCCTGCAAAATAAATTTCAGATAAGGTTGGTGGTTCAAACCCACCAGTCACTCCTCGGAAACCCTATACAGGGTAGCTATGAGTTGGAATAGACTTGTAGGTACTTAACAACAATGACAAAACCAAACAGGTCCAATCCAGAGACTTCATTTTACTTCTTCTGACTTAGAGACATCAGAAAAGAAAAATGTTTCAAACAATTTAGTGCATAGTCATATTTATGATTACATTTTAAGAAAATCTCCACAAGCTAAAGCACAGGCAGAGGAAGGGGCCAGAGGTCAGATCTCAGAAAGATGACATATGAGAACCAACGGTTCTTAGAGAAGAAAATATGGCACTGATGGTAGGGTGAAGAAATATGATGTTACTTCCAAAGTCTTGAAGAATTTTAACATGGAAAAAAGACAAAACTTACTTAACCAGAGAGAAGGTATTCAAGAACAGAGTTTACTTTACAGAAGTAAACACTTCTAAGAAGGAGAGACGCCAAATGAAATGGATGAAATATCCCTGCACAATGATTGTGCACAAAGAGGCTGGTAACCACCTACTTGGGAAGCTGGGTCAAGAGCTGTTAGGTGCCATTGAGTTGGTACCGACTCACAGTGACCCTATGCACAACAGAACCAAACATTGCCCGGTCCTGGGCCAACCTCACAATCATTGCTACACCTGAACCCATTGTTATTGCCACTGTGCCAATCCATTTCATTGGGGGGGGGGGGGCGTCCTCTTTTTCTCTGACCCTCTACTTTACCAAACATGATAGATATCCTTCTCCTGACAATATGTCTGAAGTATGAGAGACGAAGTTTGACCATCCTGGCTTCCAAGGAGCAGTACTCTTGCTGTACTTCTTCCAACACAGACTTGTTTGTTCTTTGGCCTTATGTCCATAGTACTTTCAATATTTTCCTCCAACACCATAGCGCAAATGAATCAATTCTTCTACAGTCTTCCTTATTTGCTGTCCAACTTTCACATGCATGTGAGGCTACTGAAAATACCATGGCTTCGGTCAGGTGCACATTAGTCCTCAAACTGACATCTTTGCACTTCAACACTTTAAAGAGGTCTTGTTCAGCAGATTTGTCTAATGCAATATGTTGTTTGGCTTCTTGACTGCTGCTTCCATGAGTGTTGATGGTTGATCGGAGCAAAATAAAGTCTTTGACTTCAATCTTTGCTCCATTGAAAAGGATGTTGTTTATTGGTTCAGTGGTGAGTATTTTTGTTTTCTTTACATTGAAACGCAACCCATACCTAAGGATGTGGTCATTCATCTTCATCAGTAAGAAAGCTTGTATCATTTGCATATTGGAGGTTGTTAATGAGTCTTCCTCCCATCCTGATGCCACATTTTCCTTCATATAATTCACCTTCTTGTTTTATTTGCTTAACATACAGATTGAACAAGTGTGGTGAAAGAATATAACCCTGGCGTACATCTTTCCTAATTTTAAACCATTCAATGTTCCTTTGTATTGTTCAAACAGCTGCAAAAGGAGAGGGATTATACCAGCTAACTTCTCAAAGTCTTTCCAAATCCAGTTCTCAGAACTTTGTATAATTTAACGCCAGCGCTCAAGGAAACCAAAGCTCAAAGATTAATATCCCTAAAATCATAGTCTGATTAAGAACAAAGACATAATCCTAGAACAAAGACATAATCCTAGGCCAAATAGTAAGCAGAAACAGGCTTGAATTTATATATATACCTATGCTATATTCAGAGTTCTGGTGTGCTGTTGTGGGTTAAAGCTCTGGACTGCAAAGTCAGTTTGAACCACAGGGTTGGTGGTTCAAGCTCACAAGCTACTCCTCAGAAACCCTATACAGGGTCACTATTAGGTGGAACCAACTCCACGCCACACAACAACAACATACTATGTATACACACAAACATATGCATACATCCTGGTATCATGTGCCATTGAGTTGAATCCAACTAATACAGGCCCAGTGCACAATAGAACGAAACACTGCCTGGTCCTGTGCCATCCTCAGAATTATTATGTTTGAGCCCATCATTGAAGCCACAGTGTCAGTCCATCTCATTGGGGATCTTCTCCTTCAATGACCTTCTACTTGACCAAGCATAATGTCCTTTTCCAGGGACTGGACCCTCCTGACAACAAGTACAAGGGACAAAGTCTACCCATGCTCACTTCTAAGGAGCATTCTGGCTGTACTGCTTCCAAGATTGTTGTCGTTGTTAAGTTCTCTTGAGTCAATTCCAACCCACAGTGACTCTGTATAGAGTTTCTGAGAAGCAGTTGGTGACCATGTTTCATTCTGTCACACACAGGGTTGTGATGAGTCAGAACTTAACAACAACAACACTTAACAACAACAACAACAACCTGTTAACAGAATCACTGGCTACCGGATTATACAGGACAAAGGCTGATTTTGACTCTGACATCTTCCTGGAGTGGCCAATTTCAACTTCTCGTTACCTTTCTACTTGTATTGCATTGTTCTCACTGTTAAATTCTTGAAAGTGATTCCTAACTAGGTAGTCCCCCCTCTCCCAGGCCACTGTCCATGCTGTAAACAGTGGTTTTACTGAGGCACAGATTATTTACGTCAGTCTAACCTGCTCAACCTATACAGGGCAGCAGAGTCAGAGCCAACTCGATGGCACCTAACACCACCACCAACAACAACCTGCTCAACCTATACAGGACAGCGGAGTAGGAGCCAACTCGACAGCACTTAACAACAACAAAAACAACCTGCTCAAAGTACAGTCGTGGTGTGGTACTTCAGGATAAGCTGCAAGGGGGCCAGTTCAATTCAGGGTTGCTATGAGTCGCAATCGACTTAACAGCACTTAACAACAACCTGCTAAAAAATCGACATTGGTTCTCCAATGCCTACAAAGTCAAGTTCAAATTCAATGACAGCACAACCTGACCTGTACCTTCTTTGCTTGCCCCTGGTACTGCATGCTTTGTTTACACTGGTCATTCCTAAAGAGGCCATATACCTGTCTAGTCCTTGTTTTTGTACATCTGCTCCCGAACACACTCCTTATCACACTACCTGTGCACACTTTCAAGGCTTACTAAACACTGTCTACCTATGTGAGGCTATCTTTAATGCTTCCACCGCACAGCCCAGCCACCTTCTCTTAGAATTAAGTGCTTCCCTGGAGCTCACAATGCTTCTCTTCCTAATTTATTATTATTTTTTTTGCATTTAACAATCATGCTTGAAATATTAGTTTTGGGGGTCCACACCTATCTCCACCCAAGAATCCTAAAAGGTAGAAAGCAGGCTTCATTGATTTCTACATACAAATTTGCTAGACTTTCAAAGGCAAACAACTAACACAGTGCCTCATAGCACATAGCAGATGCTTAACATATAGTTACTGAATCGATGTAGAATCTGAAGACAGAGCTCTATCTCCCAGTCTTATAAATGATAACTTCTAATAATTTATAGTTAAAATTTGAATAAGCCTTTGTTGTTGTTAAGTGCCGTCAAGTTGGTTCCAACTCATAGTGGCCTTGGCACATGGTTTCTGAGGTTTTAAATCTTCGTGGGAGTAGAAAGCTTCATCCTTCTCCCATGGAGCAACCGGCGGGCTCAAACCGCAGATCTTGTGGTTTGCAGTCCAGTGCTTATCGCATAAGCCTAGTGATTGACCAAAAAACCCTCTCATTCTAGTATTTTCAAAACTCTGAGCCAAACACAATCATACTTACATTCACTAGTAGCGAGAATTCAGTAACCAGCTGGCTAAGTTCAACCAAGTCCTTAAAAAGAGAGAGAGAAGAAATTACTTTTATGCTTCCCAGCTACCAAAAAGAACATCATTTTTAACATACCGCTTCTAAGTTTTCCCACGATTCGGCGGCATTTTGATCTCGAGGAATCTCAGGCAGCGCATAGATCTGAGTCAGACTCTGAGGACCAGCTTCAGCTTCACTACTGTGAAATGTTCCTGGTGAACAGAGCCCTGGGTTTAGAGCTGATCTGCTTTGTATGAATCCATTCCATAAAGCAATTCCCATGGAAGATGCTTATTAACTGAGGTCAGGCTAAAAGTAAATTGATTCCCTCTGTAAAAGTAGAATTATTAACTCATGGCAGCTTATTCCCTAGATTAGGCAACAAATGTTTTAAAACTGGTTCTACATTTTGAGGACATTATGTTGAGTGAAATTAGTCAGTCACAAAAGGACAAATATTGCAGAAGACCATTACTGTAAAAGCTTAGGGAAAAAAGGATTCTTTGTTGGTTACCCGTGGGGTTGGAGTGCGAGATTTTGGGGGAGGTGGAGGGAGGCGACTGTAGAACACAGTGTAGGGGCAGACACATCATAGTTCAGGTGTTGGAGAGGCAATACACAAGAAGGGGGAGGGGTGGAAGAACAAGGTAGATAGGGGAACACTGAGACAGGTTTGCATGGGCTAAATGGGGCAGAGGTAAATAGTGATGCATGCTCAACCTTGGAACAATAGGGTTCTATGATAGAGGGATCAAGGCATAGTTTGAAGAGGGGAAATAATTCTAAGATGCTTCACTGTCTTCTGCATATTGGTTTCCCTTGCCTACTACTGTAAAATTGAAACTTGAGTTGGATAGAAAGGCATGTCAGGAAACATGATTACAGAAAACCTGTAAGCCCGTCTTCAGCCTATAACTGACTGGAATACCTAAAAGGAGTTCTAGAACCTGCCCAGTGGGACCATGCAAACAAGGTGTACAGGACTCTAAGTGTGGGGTTGGTTAGTTTTGCCCTCCAGCTAAGTTTAAAAGGAGCCACCTCAGAAGCAGAGATGGAAGATCCTGGGATCATCAAGAAGGAAGAACATGAGTGACACATGAGATTACCTAGAGAAACAGCGATGGCAGAGGTGGTATCCTGGAGAGACAGAGCAGCTCCAGGCTCTAGGCCTATGGACTGAGGAAGGCTGAGTGCCCACAGGCAGGAGACTGGCTTAAAGAATGTGCCCTTTGGGCATTCACAAACTGGCTAAAAGAACTGGCTCAACAGCAGGGCAGAGGCCAAAGGACCACATGACTAAGAGGCTGAAGACAAGAGTGAGGCAAGCCTGCAGTACAGTAGACAAGAGGCTTTCCTGACTGGAAAACTGTTACGTCCTAAGTTGGTTTTGATCCTGAATTGTACCATATTCACTTCCCTAATATTCCCCATTATTGTGAGTATTGTTATGAGTTCTGTGTGGTCATTGCAATAGATAATCAAAACCAGATGTGAAGCAGAGAATGTTGTGGGAGGAATGGTTGCTGTCAAAATAGGGTAAAGAAAGTCCAGGTACAGAGGCCCCTAGGACCATCAAAGGAGATGAGCATGAGCGGAATGTGGGACTCTATCCAGAGAAGCAGCGACACCAGAGATGAGGACACGGAGAGATAGAGCAGCTGAGGACTCTAGACTCATGGAAAGAGAAAGACTGAGTGCTAGCAGCCAGGAGACAGGCTTTGCAGAATGTGCTCTTGGGTTGTTTAAATGATTATATATTCTTGAATGGTTCTGTGTACATCCAAAAAAAAACAAACAGAAGGAATAGAAGTAAATACAGTTGAATGATGATGCACGGAGGAGACTGTTATCATTGTAATCAAACAATGAGTATAAAACCGATGTTCTACCATATAAACTATCACTCAATTCACAATAAAAACTTAAAGATAAACAAAATTTTTAAATAGGGTAAAGAAGGCTGTAGGGTGGAGGCATGTCTGACCTCCCCTTCCTGGGGACCGGCCTTGAGCTGATTTTGAGTCTGTTTCTTTTTGCCCCCTTGTGAAGCCAGGGGAAAGCACACATGGCTTCTAGCTGATTTTTGCACCTATTTTAGCAATAAATATCAGATATACAAGATGTTAAAGGTGGGGAAATGATATCAGTTATGACAACAAATATGGTCACTCTTCTTGTTCTTAAATTCATTCTTTCAGCACATATCTCCATTCATTGCTCCTTCTGCTGATTTCCTGAGTTCAAAAACAAAAACAAACAACTAAGATTATTTCCTCATTAACACTGTTATGATAATGGATTAAGATACATGCCAAAGTGTACCTCAGTTGGATTTCTGGTGTGGCACTGGAGGAGAAGTACTCGACTGCAAACCACAAGGTCGGTAGTTCAAACCCACCAGCCACTCCTTGGAAACCCCACACAGGGTTGCTATGAGTTGGAATCCACTCAACAGCACTTAACAACAACAATACCTTCAAATATTTTTTATTTCTTTGTATTGGCTTTACCAATCAATCATTCATTCAACTGATTTTATAAGTATATAAATACACCAATCAGATGATGGGGATACAATGGTAAACCATAAAAACCATTCCATAGTGGTTAGGAATACATAGCCCTTTTCAGAAAAACCTGGGCTACAACTATGGTTTGGCTATTTACTGCTCTTTGACTTGGGCATTTAATCTCTCTCACTTATTTTCCTAATTTGTAAAATAAGCTAATGTTTACCTTAGTGAGTTTTGGAGAGGATACATGAAACAATGCATGGAGAGCACTTCACAGAGTTACTGACATACACATCAAGTACAAGTGCTCAAAAGATACTACGGCTGCTGCTGCGGTGGCGGCGGTAGTGGCTATCATTAATGCAGCGTGCTGTAAAACGTGTGATACAGACACGTTGAACATTCAGTGGATCTGCTCAGAATAATAATATGGATAAGTATGGGGTGCTATATGAACATAAAAGAGAGGTATTTCACTTAGAGCAGGCAGAGGGGAATATGTCAGAGGAGGAGCTGAAATTGAACCCAGAAGATGAACACAAAGGATACAGGTGAATTAGTGTGAGTCCTGGTGTGGTACTGGAGGATAAGCACTGAACTGCTAACCACAAGGTCAGCAGTACAAACTCACCAGTTCCTCTTGGAAACCTTGTACTGAGTCACTATGAGTCAAAACTGACTTAACGGCACTTAACAACAACAACAGGGTGGGCATAGGAGGCCTGGTAGTGTGGTGGATTATGAACTGGGTAACTAACCAAAAGGTCAGCAGTTTGAATTCACCAGCCGCTCTGTGGAAGCAAGATAAGACTTTCTGTTCCTGCAAAGATTTACAGCCTTTAAAAAAAAAAAAGATTTACAGCCTTGGAAACCCTACATAGGGGCGCTATGAGTCACAGCCCATTTGACAGCACACAACTACAAATCACCACCAAAGTGGGAGTGGGGTGAAGCAAGCAGCATTTAAGTCAAGAACAATACATGCATATAGGCTTGGGAAGTGAAGGAAGTTCAGTAGAGTTGAAGCGCAGACTGATCATCTAAATTGAGATTATTCATGGCATTGTAAACTATGTTCAAGACCTTCATCTTCTCATAATATAAATACAGAACTATTAAAAAACGCTGAAAACTATGGGGAAGGTTACTGCTTGGTCAAGAATAAAGATATACATAGGGTGCCATAATCTTAGATCTCAGATTTAGAAAAGGGTTCATAGCTGCAGTGTGAAGGTAGAAAAGGATACATACAGCTGAAGGATGACTTCTCATCTTAAAGAAGTAAAAAGAGGTAAAAATAAGAGGTAAAAATTAGAGAGGTAAAAAGAAGTTGGAAGGCTTTGCAGCATGCCCAGTACGCAACGATGATGCCTGCTCTAGGACAGCAACAGCGGAAATGGGAAGGAAAGATCTAAAAGAGCCTTGTCCTTTTCCGCTTGACTTCAAGCTCAAAACACCAATCACTCTAACAGTTCCGGAGCACCCATTACATATTGTATTAGGTACCAGAATGAAAAGAGAGTACTTGCTCTGGAGAAACTCAGATACTTGGTCAAACAGACCAAGACACAATGCTAAAACAATAGTAGAGTACGTTGATATCTAGATAAACAGATGTTTATGGTATTTTTGTGGCGGTCCCAAGCCGTGAATGATAGTGTAGGGCATGGGAAGCCATCCTAGAAACGGTGATGTAGCCAAGCAACAATGAGAAGAATATATATTCTAATGGGAGAGACCAACATGCACAAAGGAGCTCAAGGAATTAAAAAAATATATAACTTATTGTTAAATTCCCTGTTTGGTGCTACCAAAGCATAAAGGAAAGACAAGGATTAAAAGAATAAGATATTATTGATAGTTAGGAGGGGCCCTGTCATCCAGTTAAAGACTTTGGACTTTATCTGGTGGACAGTGGAGAATTACTGAAGCTGAGAAATGTCATGGGGACATGTGACATCTGATCTACTTCTAAAAGTAAGTCATTACAATTTTAAGCTCATCTTCCTTCCTTCAACTATCACTATTTTTTAACCTATTCTAAAACTGAGTCCTAGTGTGGCACTGCAGAATAAGTATTGTACTGTAACTGCAAGGTCAGTGGTTCAAACCCACAAGCCACTCCTTGAAAACCCTATGTAGGGTCACTATGAGTTGGAACCAACCTGATGGCACTTAACAACAATTAAAAAACTGGATGGTATGTTATAAAACTGCATTACTGTTTTATCTTCATAAGAATAGTTTATGAATGTTTTACTTACTTTTCAGGAAAAAAACCCATTTGAACTGCTTTAGAAGAACATGATAGTCAATTAGCTGACTAAAAAAGTATTTCCAGGCTTATTAAAATCGACCCTGATCTTTAATTGAGAATCTTAACTTATCTGAATATATTTCCTTATCTTAAAGAGACAGCAAAAACATCAGCTATAGAATGTTTTACCTTACATTATGGCAATTATTCAATTCTCTAAAAATGCTCATTGATTTTTAACAAATGCTTAAAATAGCTAATTACCACATGTTCCACGTTATCACGTGAAGACACTTGCATATTCACTTCAACCAAGAGAAGGGAATTACTCTATGACCTTTTTTCTATTTAATACTTCTGTTGAAATATGTATTTCAACTTCTTTAATATGATGATGAAAAGTAATAACTTTATTACCATTAGCAGACTAAACATACAGCTG